AACGTTCAATTTTAAATTAATTAAATAAAAATTCATTACAATCTACAACAGATGTTCAATAAAATAAATAAAAATATTTCCATGAGGATAATTACAATAATAATAATAATGAGGATAAAAATTGGATAAATGATATTTTTGTATACCCATTCATCCAGTTTCTAGGTAGGATAGAATAAAGAAGAAAAAATGAAAGAAAAAAACATGATATTCAATATCAATACTTTTGTTACTACTTATATTACTACATTTTGCCAGTTTAACCTAGATTATATGACACCAGATGTAATGAATTAGTCTGTGAAATTTATGATTGTCTATTAAGGTATTCTATATAGTTCTCATTCTAATTACATTTTTTTTTACAAATGTGCATAATATACACCTAAACAATAGTATTATTCCAGATTTCGGTTTTCTTTTTTGGTTTCATTTGTTTCTTTTGAAGTGTATTCCTAATGTTTAGTTCCTTACTATCGTTGAGAATATTATTTATACTGTATTATTTGTAAATTTTCTCTATAAGTATTTTGATATACCCTAATGAATATATGTATCAAATTGTGTTATGTTCCTCATTGGTTAACTGATTGACTTCTTGTAGAAATAATGTATCTAGTCAGATTCATCTATGTATATCTCATTTGTTTTGTATTCATAATAAATATATGACTCATTTTAACAATCACTTGAAATTAGAGGTCAATTATTAGAAATTTTACGATATCAAATGTGTATTCCTTTTACGGTCATAAAAGTCTAATACAATTTATGAATAATTGGAATTTATAAATTTCCTAAATGACAAAGCAAGCCTTCAAAAGATATAAAGACTCAACAAATTATCTTCAGAAGGGGTTTAGTGGATATTATAGTAATTTCAGTGGTTGAGATCATGAGTCATTTGAAGCTAGACAACCATGGAAAAACTAGATATAATATCCACAAACCCCTTCTGACATTATTCAACATATGCTCATTAGTGACTTGCTTCAAGAGTTATATCCTGGAGTTCTATTGAGAAGCAGTGACCAGTGGAGTTCAACGAGGTCTGTTGTAGGAAAGTAACTCACTGAAGACAGTGGTGAATGTGTCGCTCAATGTCGTCGATTAGTTGAATTTAGACATTAACACTATTGGATGCCGGCCAGCTTAGTGGTCTGGAGGTTAGGCGTTCGCGCGCGAAACCGATAGGCCCTGGGTTCAAATCTCACCAGGCAGGATCGTGGATGTGTACTGTTGAAGAGTCCCACAATAAGACGAAATGACCGTCCAGTGCTTCTAGGTTTTGCATGGTGATCTAGCTTCAACTGACTCATGATCTCAACCATTGAAATTAATGTTCAATCAAACAAAATTCAGTTTTTGAAATTTTACATTATTTAGCTTTGAGAAAAACGGAACCTTTCTCTAACAACACAAAACCACCAATTATGTTAAACATGTTATTATCAACCCTGTAAAGAGACCACTAACTAAAATTTAAAGTCATAGATACTAGTTGTTCAGATCATTCCATTGATATTTAAGACCATAATTAATCAGCCTATTTTAGCCTATGTAAACTAACTAAAATAATGAATTCATGAGCAATTCCGACCACCATAATTAGCATGTATATCAATTATGTTGAATGTGTCAGAAATGTTTGAATAAAAAAGATAAATCTGATAATATTTTTAATTAATTTAAATGTTACACTCAAATTAATAGTAAAACAACGAAATTTATTGATTAAAATGATCGTTTATAGTTTATGGGAAAAATTATTGATTATTACTGAAATTAAACTCCAATTTTTTTTCATTAAAATCAATTGACTCATGATCTTAACTGTCGAAATTAAAATCTGTGCTCATAATAGATGTTCAAGGGATTTGATTTCGTAATTTAGATTTCTCTTGAATTTTATATACCTCAAAATTCTCCAAAAACGTACATCGTATAATCGTAGTTTATACTAGAATGAAACTTTTTAAGACATCATTTATAAGTTATAGTTTCTATGGAATTATATTAAATAGTCAGAGTCAATATTAGCATGCTTTTTTTTCAACGTTAAATAGATTAGATACATGTGAAGAAAATATAGCTATCGTGAGTACATTGACAGAATTGTCTTGAATAATTAAACATTTTCGACTAATTCAATTTGATATACGTAGGTTAGTGTTATTTAGAATAATTTAACAAGTTGGTAAAATTATTTTTACTTAAGTTTATATCCCTAACTTAAATTTATCGATTAAATTCTTGAGTTTAGATCCCTTTAATTTTTAAATTTAATTTTAAATCTAGACTTCGCAGATAATCTGGCTCTTCTATCGCACACGCATCAACAAATGCAGGAGAAGACGACCAGTGTAGCAGCAGCCTCAGCAGCAGTCGGTCTCAATATACACAAAGGGAAAAGCAAGATTCTCCGATACAACACAGCATGCAACATTCGAATCATACTTGATGGAGAAGATTTGAAAGATGTAAAAATCGTTGCATATCTGGGCAGCATCGTTGATGAACAGGGTGGATGTGATGCAGATGTGAAGGCGCGAATCAGCAAAGCAAGAGAAGCATATCTACAACTGAGGAACATCTGGAACTCAAAGCAACTGTCAACCAACACCAAGGTCAGAATTTTCAATATAAATGTCAAGACAGTTCTACTGTATGGGGTGGAATCCTGGAGAACTACGAAAGCCATCATCCAGAGGATACAAGTGTTTATTGACAGTCGTCTACGCAAAATACTTCAGATCTGTTGGCCAGACATTATCAGCAAAAACCTACTATGGGAGAGAACAAACCAAATCCCAACGAAGGAAGAAATCTGGAAAAAACGCTGGAAGTGGATAGGACACATACTGAGGAAAGCACTCAACCGCGTCACAAGACAAGCCCTCACATGGAATCCCCAAGGCCAAAGGAAAAGAGGAAGATTGAAAAACACATGGAGACAAACATGAGAAGAATGAACAAAAATTGGATAAAACTGGAAGGGAAGGCCCAGGACAGAATAGGTTGGAGAATGTGGGCCGGTGACATATGCTTCCTTGGGAGTAACAGGCGTAAATTTAGTCCATTCAATTCAAATACCTTCAATATTATGATCAAATATGTTAATGGTACTATTATAAAAATAAGATCATTTCCTGGAAATTTTTATGAACTTTATAAAAATAAATCTTTTGTCCCTTGAATAACGTTTAACAGGAACGAGAAATATTTATGTAGATCATGTTATCTGCATGTGAACAGCAAATTGTACAGTCATCACAAATTATTAAATGTTTTAAAGTATTTAGTAATATAGTATTTCCACATTCAATATGTGATTTCATCTACTTAGATTAAATTGTACATAAAGCATAAGTGTATCGGTTCAAGATAATGCATCAAATTAACGTAGCGAAGTAAAATTATTGAAGAAAATTGCACAGTATCAAAAGTAGTAACAGTATCACTGGTAGTATAAAACATTAGGTATTTAAAATATGACTCAATGAGAAGAGACGAATTTACAGAAGAAATGTCTATGATTTTAAAACTCATAATCTAAGGAAAGTTAGAGCGTTAATGCGTCTAGGTTATTGTGGCTGATTTTGACTCATTTTATTTAACTTCAACTATGCGTCACGATAATCGCATGGATTTCAACCTATTAGTATATATATATATATATATATATATATATATATATATATATACATATAATTCGAACTTTCAGCTATTTGATAATGATATAATGACACTAAGCAATCTTCACTTGGATAAGAAATGAATTCATAATCCTATATCATTTAGTCCAATAAAATCGATAGTAGTCTCTGAACCTATATTTCGTAATGGTTAATATATTCTCAGTCTTAAAGGTTTAGAATCCATGCAATTTTACAGGCATTAAATAAATCACCTGTGAAAAATTCTCCAATTAGCAGCTTTAAAAATATAGAGAAACAATATAAGTGGAACAAAAAATATACACTTACTGTCTTCTATTAACTTAGACCTGAGAAACTCCAAAATGTATCTAAAATATCATCACACTTATCCAAGAACAAACATTCATTCAGTAAGATATTTTTGAGCCTACTAAAAAACTTAAAAAGAAAAACAACCAGTCTACTAATTTGATTGTCACATAAATTTATGTTATCATCTATAAGGTAGAAGTTTTTCGACATGATTAAATGATGGCACTTTTATAGACCTAAGGATTAGTTATATCTATTGAATCCTTAAATCATTTTAATGAATCATCTGTAATATGTGACAATTCGTGGTGTATGCGTATAAAAAGAAAGGTGCATTATTTTTCAACAGTCATCATTAACTTATAATACATGTACCCGCATAATGGTACACAAGTAGAGGACATAGTAAAAGTAAACAGCTCTACTTATTCGTGAGTAATCAAATAAATATTATATGTATTAGACTAATTGTTGTATATCGTGTGAAGCGTTGGTTAATTAACATGTATTAAACATTCATCACGAAGTCAATAAACTATTAAATATAACAATGATTTTTTAATAAGTAGATTCACTTGTTTTACAATTTGTCCATTGCATTGTACTCACTAAAGACCTATAAATTCCAGTGTTTAGTTTTATGTAGTGTTACATGAACACTGTTGAAGGGAATTCCAATTTATAACTAATCGACCGTTCATTGCTCCTTGATTTCTAGTGACGTTTCACTGGATGATGGTTTTACCACGAAAAACACATTTACTTAATATAATCACTTATTTAAGTATATTAATATTAGTAAATTTGCTTTTTAATAGGATATTGAGTAAAATATTAAATATTAAAATATCGCAACAGTTAATTCAAGGCGGCCTGCTTGAATATCTGGGCTACCTGTTCCTGCCATCTAGATATTCCAATAAGTTATCTGTTTTCTTGTTTGTTCTAACAGATTGTTATGCCTATTAATTTCATAACCTATTTAGATATGTTTGTGAAAAGTTTGCTACATTTCACTGTAAAACTTACAAAAGAGTCTAATTAGAGACATCGTGGCTGCTGACAATGTGTATTGAAACGAATGAACATTATTCAGATGTCGAGTTCTAACCGGTGATCATTCAATATTTATCGTCAATATCGATCAAGAAAAAAGAAAAGGAAACTTGTTGAAATATTTTGTACTGAGAATTCTATTTTGTACCAAAAATATAATACTTAATAAAGTCATTAATAATAATAATGTTATAGAAAACGTTACTTAACTTTTTAAAGATAATAAACATTGACAGAATTGTCAAATTGAGGTATGCATTCACTCTTTTATTATAGCTCAGCATGTACTGTATATTTTAAGCAATGAAAGTCTTATCAATTTTGTGAGAAAATGTTTTTCTTTTTGCACACAATGTCCTAGTGAACATTCCAAAGATTCTGTCGAATCGATAGATTGTAGCTAGTAACAAAATTCAAAATGTGCATAACATCTTGTATGAGGCCGGATTCCATAATTGTTGTAACGGTTTAATATGACGGGATTAAAAACCAAACTTACATTCTTTTACTCATTGTGATTTTTATTCAGCATTACTTCCGTTTTAATTCAGTGTGATAATTACTTGGTATAGTATTTGTTTTGTTTTTCTAGTATGATAATTTATTCAGTATAACATATGATGTTCTTGTATTAAATTAATATAAACCATGATTAGCATAACACTCGGCATGTGCTGAGAAGAATTCCAGTTTTGAGGCGTCACTTGTATTGTAGTTTAATCCCTTTCGTAGTAGGTGTTCTTCCGTATTTGTTAGTTGCTGTTTTGACAGATTAACCACGCAGTTGTTTGTGTTTTCTTCCATGGGTGGTTTTGAGATCTTGATTGGATTTTTCCTTTAGGGTGTTTCTTCTCTGTTCTCTGTGTCGTTTGCATGATATCTCGATGGCTGTTGTCAAGATTTGCAAATGTTCTGACGTGAGTGTACTTTGTAGCTTCATCTGTTGGTCCTCTATGACGCGTTGGTATTTGCGGATCCTGTCGTGTGCATCGGTTATCATTAGGTGTACCATTTTTCTTCCACTTTGCTCAGCTATTCTCTATCCTAATGGGCAGTTGATTGCAGGTCTTTATCTTACACTTGTTGGTAGAACATGCTGGTGAAGACACTCATGGAGAAAACACAGTTTTTCTCGAGTAGAGGCCTGTCTTTTGGCAAAATTCTCCCATTTTCGAACAAGGAGAAGCGTATTACGCTCAAAATCATATGAACTCATCATGTAATTTGTTATAACTGTAAATATTTTTCATATATGTGATTTTATCCTAATTATTAATTAAAAAGGATGTACAAATAATAGATAAACGAATGTATTTTTGACTAGGGTTGTCATTGTGTTTTACGTTTTAATAAATCTTCACGTGTACCAGTCTTGGTGTACTTACTTTCGAGTCGTGTTGGTTACCAATGTAGTCATAAATTAAATGTCATAATGAAACTCTTGATATGATCTAAATGAACATGCATATATTATTCATTTTATTTTTTTTAATGTAATACAAAGTAATTATTAATTAAATTATGATTATCGATTCAACCATATGAGAAAAACTATTTTCTCTCAGATTTCTTTTTATTTATACATGCAAATAATGATAAAGGTTAAAAGATAGTCTACGAATGAACCGTTTTATATTTGATTTAATAATAGAGACTTTAGTACAGTAATTGTTTAACTTTTAAAAAAATTTCAGTTATTTATTCACATTGGATGCATATAGCCAGTTTGAAATAGGATAATGAAACTTAATTGGTTTATTATTATGATAAACACATGTAATTCTTTGATTTTTATGATAAATTAAAAACAAAAACCCAATAATTAAGGTGTTATTAAGATGCATTTCAGAAGTCTTGGTCAAATTCTAACAAGAGATTTAGGTTTTTTCGCAGTTTTAGTCATTACGTAAACAAAGAATGTGATAAGTGATAATCAACTACTTCGAATATGTATATATTAATTTATATACAACCATAAACTTACATACTCCATGAAGAAACTGAATACAATAATCCTGTATTGAAAATTTTAATTCCCTTCTTTTTATTCTGTATATTCTGTATCTAATAATGGTGTTTAGAAACTTTAAATAACTGGTCTAATTTCATATTTATAAGCTTCATGAATGATTTCTGGAAGAAGCTTATCAACTCAATAATTTTATCTCTTTTAATGTATATTAGTAGCAGTGATTAAAGTTGAAGACACAGATACATTGATGGTATTAATAATAGAAATAGTAGTAGCATTAGCAATCCTAGTAGGGTGTGATAATAAATATATTTAGATATTTTATATTAATATGATTCAATTAAATAAACAAGAGATGATTGGTGATGTTTCTTAAATTCTAATGACAAATATAATCTAATCTTATATCAATTTAATACACTATGCTCAGATATGACAATAGAATACATGTTATCCAATTGGTTTTTACCTTAAATTTGACCTTAAACATATGTGAAATTCTTCTTTAAAGAAAAAAAAATTACTTTTATACAGTATCGGAAATGAGCCACACCTCACAAATATAAATAGCTAAATGTAAATTATAATATTAAAAGGCATCTTCATTTCCACTGATTATTAGTGTATAACAACATTTATACACTGTATTTTTAAGTAACTAACATCGATTGATTCTTTTTCAATCTTACAAAGATTTCCATCTACAAAGATTTAAATGAAATACAAATATTGGTAAATGTAATTAAAAAAATATTGAACTCACTTTGGGAAATAACCTGGTATTATATATACATATATATGTTATTGATTAAGTTAAGACTCACATTAAGGTTGGAAATGGATTGTGTTAACCAACTTATGTGTTTTAAGGCTCCTGTTAAATAGAAACAATAAGCGTCAAAAGAAATTTCAAATAATTATAAATAATTGTTATTGATATAAAAATTGAATATATAGTATAAATTCAGTATGAGAAAAAATAACAAAAAGATGGGAGGCAAAATCTGACTCACACGTTTTCGTCGTGCCTCCTGGATAGTGGGACGGATGACCCGTGAACAAACGTGAGCGGTAACCCAGATGGTGAAGATCGGGCTAATCACCCACTAGACCGATACCCTCAAATCGATTATAAACTTCACAAAAAAACACAACACAATTACTCTTGGATGGAAAAGCGATGAAAAATTGACAAAAGTGGTGCATGTAATGTATGGGGTTGCGCCTTACGGGGCAAACTCCAACTGGTTGCAAAAACAGCTATTCTAGACCCAGTAGTTGTGCCATGCTTTGATGTAGCCTGTTTCTCTCCAGAACGGCTTCACCAACTTGTTTGGCTGGAAGAGGCAGCAAAAAAATAAAATGAGCAATACATAATAACAATAAAGTAAAACGTCATTATCTGTTCTTCGTACCTAGTTTAATTTACAAGTAGAAAAGGTATTTTGAGGTAGTTAACTTTAGAAATTAAATTTACAACCATAGAAAATATTTAGAAATAAATCGGCCTCTTATATCTTGAATAAGGTTCTGTAATGAATATATTATGAGTTTAAGGTTTGAAAGTAAATTATAAACCGTGATATACTCAGAAATCACTTATAAACATTATTGTTATAAATTCACTTGGTATTGTTTACTCGAAGCTTTCCACTGACATTTAGGGCTGCTATTGATCAGTCTCTTATTAGCATATGTGCATACTGCGCGTATCACCTCAATATTGCCTTAAGTGGCTATTAGGACTCAGTAGCTAAGTAGATAACGTGATGGCGTTTGAAGCAAACGATACTGGGCTCGAGTCCCGAAGTGAACATCAGCGTTAGGATGCAGGTACATCTAGCCGACGAATCCCAGATAGGATAATACGTGCGTCGTGGATCCCACTGCCGACCACTATTAGTATTTGCTTATTTTTACTATATATTTTAATTTTTTACTTCTAACCAATACATCGTTAATTGAATCTTTCTACCTACTCGTTGGTTAGTAGAAAACAATGAAATTATGGAAATCATTTAGTTAGTCCCTCACATTTTATTAAATTATCTGCAATAAAAACATTTCTAATAATTGTTAACTGATTTGCTACAAGCATAGGACAGCTACATATAACTTTGATAAATGACGATATGCAACAGAAAATAGTAAGAACAAGAATATGAACATCTCATAAATTAAAAATGTTCGTTAGCATAGGGCTTTCAAAATAGGTTTTCGTCTTATATAACACCAGTTAACTTGTATTACAAAGACCATATAAGTGAAATCAAATGTTACAATAAAACATTGAATTGTTTTCCATCACAATAATAAATGATAACACTATTCTCTATGCAATCATAAAACTGACGTCTGGTTCTCAGTTTGACTCTGATTGACGATAACGACAAAAAATGTTCAAACAAGTGTATTTCAAAATAATATGAATTAACAATCAGACAATGACTCAATATAAATATGGCAACCATCAAGTATCGTCAAACACTGACTATCTGTAAGACAATTCAACACTTTTGATGGCCATCAGTATGAACAGTAAATCATACTAATCTGATTAGAAGAACCCAAAGAATTCATATTGTACGACACCACAAAATCAAACAGAAATCTTAATATATACTTATAAATAAACTGAATTCATAGTTTACAATGAAGAATAACACAATAATTTAACGAGCCAGGAAATCGATTTAATTACTGATTAATTAAAAATTCGAAATTTCACTAAGACGATTGATGCCAGAGAAGATTCACTTTGTAAATAACTGGGAAAAGAGGAATAAATGTCAATGATGTTGTCTTTCGTTGGCATTCTGATTACACGTAAAGAAAAAAAAGAATATTCCTACCACTGTTTGTAAATTTAACACTGATAATGAAGTAATTAAGCCTAGTTAAGAATGTAACAAATAAAAACAATATAATTATAAAGACAACACATCGTTGAAATCTGTTGGAACTGAACGACTGAATCAACTACTCTAAAAATGGAGTGCCAGATAAGTGATTGGAGTCATAGC